AAGTCAATGAGTGAAGATAAATTATAAGGATTACAGTGATACAAGAAACCAGTTTGCTACCCATGAATGAAAACGAACGAATCAACTAAATTGATGATAGATATCGCTGCTAATGATATGTTACCTTCTCTAACAGGATTACAGAACAGCACAACAATCATGCTATTTTAATATTGGCACAGTAACTTACCAAATGGTTAACAATCGCAATTTACTGTAAAGTAATCATTGCTGATGATCCTGATCAGATGAGTTCAATCCCCTAGACTTACCCCACCAAAATGATTAAACAACTGCGAAATCAACAAAGTCACACTTGTAAAATGATTGATACAAACAATCCAGACTCGGATATCCAACAACACTGATCTTCCTCAAAACTCATTATCAAATCGGTAAATATTTTCCTTTCTCTCTAAAAAGAGTAAGAGGAAGAAGAAGAATGATTAAAATAGCGAGCGGACCAGAAAATATGAAGATGCAACGAGGTCACACTGCAGAATCACAAATCATCCTAAGAACTCGTCGCGAGCATGTTATGAGGAGGTCAAACTTCAACCGCCATTATCACGAAAAACTACCGAGATGAAGATGGAAAATGAAAAGGCGGTTAGGGAGAGAACAAGGTACAGTACAATAATGAGGGAAGGAAAGTAGTTAGTGGAATGATAATCCATCGCTGGAAATCACACTAGTTTCCTTTTTGCTTTTCCTTGTTCTTTTTTAAGTATATGAATAATAATCAGTTCTTTTTCGGGCGCATTATTTATTTGAAAAAAAACAAAAATATGTGGAAAAAAATAAAAAATAAAAAAAATTGGTGGAAATCAATCAAACAAACGGATTTTGAAAATCCGTGTTCCTAATTAAATTTTTAATAAAAACACGGATTTTCATAATCCGTGTTTCTTTTTTTTTTTATTTTTTTTTAATTTTTTATGTCAACGGTCAAATTTAATCCGGATTTTTTTTAATTTATTACACGGATTTTGGAAATCCGTGTTTAGCGGGAAAAAAAAAAAACGATTAAAACGGATTTTGAAAATCCGTGTTTAACTAAAAACGATAAAAACGAATTTTCAAAATCCGTTTTTAGGTTGATATAACCCAACCACAAACCCCCCCC